ATTTTACATTTTTGAAAAAACCAAGTTCCTATCTACAAAGTTGCATGATTTCATGTGACTTTGCATAATGAAAGTACAAAATTCCATAGTATGCAACTTTTGTTACTCGATACATTTTCTTAAATTTATATATGTCAATCGCCCAGTTTTAATTAGTGAGTTTCTATCGTTGATCGGCGGACCACGAATTAATATTTCAAGATCTCAATTTTTGTTGTACAAGAGTGCCTGGAATTTTTAAAAACATTTTTTACTTGAAGTTTCTTTTATATATTTAATATGTAGCATGGTTAGATAACTCAATTAGAAAGCTTTCTAGGAATCAGCAAAATCGGTAAACAGCAATTTTTTTTTTCTTGAAATAGACAAAAGCAATGGTATAATTATAATAGTACAACATAATGTTATTTAATATACTTTCTTCTTATTTATTATTCTAATTGTTTAATGTGCTTCTAATAGAAGGATTCATCTTCAATTGAAAAGATCCACATGTTAGGTAGATTCGATGGCTTATCACATTACGCGCTGTATTAAGATTATTTTTTCATATTTAATGTTAACTATTAATTATTTTTACCTTACTCTTTATTACATGCTCATATTTCAACATAGAAGCAAACCTCTGTAATCAGATGATAACTTGGAGTTGGTGAACAAATATATGGTGAATATTGTATTTTTTATATTCAATTATTTATTAAATCATTTTTACACGATATCATTTTTACTGCATGAACAAAAATTCAAACAAAAAACATGTTTGAATTGATGACAAAGATTGTATTTTTTATATTTAATTGTTTATTAATAATTTTTTCATCGCATACTGATATTATATCTTATATTTAATATTTATTAAATCGCTTTTACATAACATTATTTTTTATTACATACTATTTTGTTATATTTTTAGATGATCCAATATATCCAAACATCAAACTTCAATTAAAGAGTTTGGCAGATAAATATGAGGTGGTGGAAGACCATTATCTCAAGTTTGGGAACATTTTTTAAAAGGACCTGAAATTAAAAATAATAAAGGCCATTACAATGCTAAGTGCAATTACTGCTTGAAATATTTTGAAGTTGGATATCCGAATGTTCTTGAAAAGCATTTAGCAAGAGAATGTGTTGAGTGTGATGAGGAAATTCGTAAATATTATTTGAATTCGATAATTGAAAAGAGTAGGTCTAGAAACAATCAAAAAAAAGCTCAAGATTCTCATTATTCAACATCCAATAACAAAAATTTAAATAATCATCAAGTTTCTTTATCTGAATTCTATGAAAGTAAACCCTTACAAAAGAGAGAGAAGAAAGCATCAATAAATCTTTAATTCATACTTTTGTAATGGCTGGCATTCCATATAACACTATTGAGAACCCATATGTTGTAGATTTTTTAAAAAAATTACATCCAGCTTATCAACCATCAAATTGTAAAAAATTATCAATTAATTATTTAAATGATGAAGTGATTCATGTGAATAGAAAAATAGACCAGGATATTGAAAAAAATAAAAATAAGACTCTTGGTAAATATATATTTTTAACAATTTTATAATTGTTGATTAATAACCATATCCATAATCATATTTAGCTCTAGATGGGCGGTCCAATTCTAAGAACAAGTCAATCTGGAATTTTGTCATTATAACTCCTCAAAGAAAAAGTTATACATACAAGTTATGTGATTTTTCAGGAAGTTCTCATACTGGAGTTTTTTTGTCTGATCAAATTGAATCGATTATTTTAGAAATTGGTGTAGAAAAACTGTCAGCTATTGTGCTAATAATGTTAAACTTGCCAGAGAGTTAAAAACTACTAAATATTGAACATTAGTGTATTGCTCACTGTTTTAATCTTATAACAAAAGATTTACTAAAACATGAATTTGCGAAAACTTTAGTCTTCAAGTGCAAAAAAATTATCAATTTTTTTAAAAAATCATACTAAGCCAGCAATTTGCTTGAAAGCTACATTAAAACGTTAAATATTACTGGAGGAAGCCTAAAAAAGTACACTGAAACCAGATGGACCTCAATTTATGTATCCACAACTTCTATTATAAGATTGCAACCTGTATTTCAATTAGCAAGCAATGATGATAATTTGTAGTAAATTAGTAAATGCATTGTTTTAATCGATTTGTTTTATTTACTCTTTTATTTATTCAGATATTAAATGAGAATCCTGATATCATAACTAATGATGATGTTTTGAATATTTTAAATGGAAGAAATTTTTTTAAGAATTTAAAAAACTTAAATTTAATTCTAAAACCAATAAAAGAAGGGATTGAAATTCTAGAATCAGATAAAACAAATTTAGCTGACTGCTAATATCAACTTATAAAACTTGCTGCTTCAATAAAACTATACCAGGTCATTTTCATTGCAGTAATTGTAATTATTGTATAAGAAAATTTAATTCTAGGTGGCTTGAATTTAGCTCTGATGAATATTTGGTTGTCTATTTTTTGCACCCTGGATACAAAGGTTAGATAT